ACTGACCTCACAGAGCCACCAGACACGGCAGACAGACCTGCATGCACATGGCACCATCAGGCCCAGCGAAGGGAGGACAGGGTTTCAGTCCACGCTGAACTCTGACTGGAACTCAGCTCCTGCCTCACATCACAGAGGTTTCCACTTTAAGATGTTTGTATTTTTGGAGTGAACACGGATGTAACGTGAGCGGAAGTTGCTCAGTCACACGATGGGAGCCCTAAACAAGTGGGGTCACAGAGTATGCGTTCTTGGTCTCAGGAGAGGACATGCGTCTGTGGGACCCGCCAAAAGAAAAGGAGGAACCAACCACTGGGGCAGCCGTTGGGCTAAGAGGTGGAGGTATATGACATCACAGTTGCCTGGGTTTTACCTCCAGTCTCTACTGGGATCTGACTGACATCTATAATGGCTTCCAACTCAAGCCTTCTCCAACTGTGCTTTCTTTCAAACTTTGCACCGTCCGGTTGCCAGCTCAGAAAACAGCAGTGCTTCCCCTTTGCCAAAATACAACGGAACGAAGCTGCAGTGTTTTCCCAGCCTGCCAGGATGTGATGGGGACTGAATTACTCCAGCTATGCAAAGTGGAAATCATGAAGGGTAGGTAGGACTCAGAGCTTTGGACAGAGCACGCCTGTGTAATACATGCACGCGCTGTGCACAAGGAGGCCAGAAAAGGATGTTGGACCCCCTGGGCCCAATTTATGTATGGCTGTAAACCACCATGTGGGTGCTTGGAATTGAACCTAGGTCCTCTGGAAGAGCAACCAGTGCCCTTAACTGCCGAGCCATCTCCAGCCCCATGACTGGGATCTTAATGATATTGCTGAGCCCCTCGAGTCCTCCATACGTTACACAGCATCAGGTGATAGGCTTAGTGACTGTTGACACCGTCACTCTGTGCCTTCCGTCTTCCGTAGAACCGAAATCGTCCTACCTGACAGCTTACAGCTGCTACTCAAAGAGCTGGACACATTCCAAGTCTTGCTGACAACACCTTTGAGTCACAGCCTACAGAGGGGAATTCTCCATCTGAAAATGAAGGCTCTCTACAGCTGCGAAGTGAATGACGCCTCAGGCCGGCACCTCCCCTCCACTCCCTGCTCCTTATCCTTTGTCTTTTTTCTTTCTCTCCTTTTTTTTTTTTTTTTTTGAACAAGCATCATGTAATTTGGGACCATAGATATTGGGTAATTACTACAGCAATGACTTCAGGCATAAGGAAATATAATTACAGTCCAATTTCAGCTTGTTTCCATGACAACAGGGCAATTGCAATTGATCAGCAGTTTTCTTTCTAAATAGATCCACGAGCCTCATTCAGATGAAATGCTAATGAGCAATTAAATATCCTCATCAAACAAACTACAGTTGTTGGGATAAAAAAAAAAAACAAAAAAAAACAAACAAACCTGGAACTAGAGTCTATGAGGCATGGCATCTTCTACACAGATCCTGGATTCTGGGACCCTGTAAAAATATGTGGTGCTCGGTAGACCACAGAGTACCACATTACCTGTCAATTGCAACAGAGACAGGGCGTGCCATATATATTCAAGGTCAAGGAAGACACTCTGAGACCTTAAACAGCCTAGAGGTGGGAGGCAGAGGGTTGCCCACTTGTTCTTATATCATGGGACAAGGGATCAACCCAGCATGCCCCTCGAATTCTGGACGCCCACCTTATTTCTTAGTGGCCTCTCGTGGGAAAAGATCTCTTCCTAAACCTCTCTCACTACGATGTGAACTCATTTCCTCTAGGCTTGTGCTCTGGAAACGCAGCCTGGGTCGTCATCAGCGGTGTCTCTATCTCTGGTAATTTTGCCTTGTGTTTACAAAGAGCTTTACAACAGATTGCGCAACAGCACGTGCGCATTTTGACCTTAGGATAATCCTGGCAGATGCTGGTTTAGCAGATCAAGGGATTGGCTTGCCTCAGGTCAGCCAGCTCATGAGGGACAACCCCCTGTATTCACAAAGTGTTGCTGTGTAGCCCTGGTTGGTCTGGTGCTCGCCATGTAGTTTAGGCTAGCCTTGAACTCACAGCATGTCTGCTGCCTCAGCCTACCAAATGCCCACATGTAAGGTTTACTTAACATACTTATGGAAATGTATTAACTGTATTTAATGAACAAAGGACAGATGTTATTAAATTGTTAAAAAAAAAAGCTATCAAAGTTTAAGCTTCGTTTTCCCAGAGGCATGTACAATTTAAACACACTAGCCAGAGAGCCATGACAATTCATAAGCTACAGAAAGAAGAGAGCACTCTGGATGCCCCGGACAAATGTCCAACTTCCAGTAAAGGGAATGGATCAATGAGGGGCTATTCTTGGCCACAGAGACCTTTTAGAACTACAGATTCTCAGGGTCCAACCTGTTAGACTTGAGCAACTTCAGTGACTACATCCCTGGGCTTTGGGAAGCCCCTGGACACAGACTCAGCCTTCTAGGTTTTTAGGGTAGGACCCTGGATTTCGGAAAGTCTCCCTCGGAAAGTCTGGACCGACGCCCGCACTTTCTATTTTGGAGATGGGAATAAAAAAAAAAAAAAAAAAAAAAAAAAAAAAAAAAAAACTTCAGACTCATTTCTACATCTTTATGCAATGTGCAGAGGCATGTCTGTCAGCTGAGCAGGAAACTGAAAATAATTTTAGGAAGTCATAGTTTTCATTTTTTTCTTTCCGTTTGTAAATAGAGAATGAGGAGAACTTTCGCTATACTGCAAGGCATTCATGTAATATCTTCCTGGAAGGAAAAGAAAATGCTTGCTGTTGTTTTGAGACGGGGTCTCACTCTGTAGCTTTGGCTGGCGTGAAGCTCACTGTCCATACCAGGTGGCTCTCTGACTTTTACCAGTTCTTTCTCTTCTGCTATTATGGGCATGCCCTACTATGTGCAATTCACATTTTTGAGTTACTTCTGTTTTCTTATATTACTACTTTAATTTTAAGGACAGACACAGAAATTCATGGTCCAAACATCCTTTTAGCTTCTTCACTTAAGAGACGAGTATTTTTATTCATATAAACAAAAACTAAAATATGTCCCATACTATATGCGGAGGTTTCTGAACAGAAGTCAACAATGAGAGCAGGCAACATTACCTACAAAGTAATGGAGTTGCTTGACCCTATGTGCAATTTCCCAAGATTCCTTAAAGCTTTAAGGAAAAGTCTCATGAGGCAAATGGAATGCAGAAGGTAAATGGGAAGAGAACTTGTGAGAGTCCGAGGCAATTCAACAGGACACAAGGGACTGGGCCAACCCACAACCTATGACAAAAGGGAAGCATGTTTTCAGAGGCCTGTCTGCCCAAAGGTGGACTCCTTAGACCTGATGCCCTTTCCCACTGACTTGGTTTTGGTCCCACTGTTAGGATTTTGGAACTAAACCTGCTCCTGGGTTGCCTAGCAATTTATGATGTCATCGTGTCGCTGGCCAAGTGGCCACACCTGGAAGGCATGGTTACCTTCCCCCTTAAAGGGACCAGCCAGCCATGTGGTCCCTCTCTTGGTCTCTCTTGCCCTCTCTTGCTTCTCTTGGCCCTCTCCCCTTTGTCTGTCGGGGTGCCCTTCTCTCTTTCCCCCCATCATATCCTGCTCTCCCTTCTCTCCCTCTCTTCACCTCCAGCTAATAAACCTCTTTCATATAAAAGATCTGTTGTAATCATCATGACTTAAATCGTCCCCGAACCCATCACCCACCTCAGTAGTTTTGCACTTCATTCTGCTTTGAGGTAAAAAGACCCAGCATGAGAAGCTGAAATCATTGATTCTCTGCCCTCCCCTCCCTGGAAGGACAACAGTTGATTTTGTGGAAGTGTGCGCACTCAGCAGCTGGTAACTCATTGCTCACTGTGCTTTCCTTTCAGCTAAGGCTGTTCCTTCCACAGAGTTGATACCCTAAAAGGGCACCATTAAAGCTGACCATGTTCTTATGTGGTAAAAAAAAAAAAAACGAGAAACAAACATAGGCTGGTCGAGGCAGAGTCAGTATTGGTCAGAGTCAGAGGCAGAGTCAGTATTGGCTTAAGCTTTAGCCTGAGGGTTTTGTAACACAAATAGTACCTACTTCAATTTCCTTATTGTCACACACTTTTGTCTTAGGTGTTAGGTAAGTCAGGCACCAGCACTCAGTGGGAGGCTGAATAAAACCGCCAGCCCAGTGAGAAACAAGAAAATCTTAGAACACGATGTGGTCTGATGTGGTCTTTGTCGGTTCAGGCTAGAGATGCCAGTGAGCAGAGCAAGGCTCAAGAAAGCACACTGATGGCAGGGACAGCTTCCCAAAATGGGTGGTTTTCAAGAGCACTAGGGGCGCCCACTCATCTCTAACTCCCGCAAGTGCACCCCAGCACTCAGGTGACAGAGACCACATCTCCCCAACCCTTCATGCCCTGGTTTTTAAAGTTCCTGATCAGATTTAGTGCCTGTGTCCTATGCAGGGAAAAAGAAGAGGGGTGTGAGGGGGGAGAGAGACAGAAAGATAGATAGAGGCAGAGACAGAAAGGGAGAGAGACAGACAGACAGACAGATGGTGGGAGAGAGAGAGAGACAGAGGGGGAAAAGCAGAAAGGAAAAGGATAAAGGAGGGAGGAGAGGAGAGGAAAAGTAAAAGTTGGGAATGCCTGTCACAAACACCCCCCCCACACACAAAGCAGCTAGAAACTTCCTGGGGTGTGGCTTTGCTGACCTTGAGAAATCTGCATCCTTGCCTCCTGGGTAAACGCTAGACTGTGGCTACCTTTTCTTTAATCAGAGGACCCCTGTGGAGCCAAGCCAGTGAGTTGCTGCCCTCCACCAGCAGTGAGGGCAGGGAGACACAGGCTCACTCCCCGAAGGCAATTTCTCCTCCCAGCACGCTGGGTGCCACCCCCATTCCCAGGTGGGACACCTCTGTGCTGTGTCCCTGCCCTCCCAATCCAAAGCCCCACCTGCCCCTCCAGGGACTTCTTGCCCTGGGACTCTGTGACATGCAAGGAAAGGACAAGGTGTTACCTCAGATTGTTCTCTAGGGCCTCCTCATCTGAAGAGAAGGTCCCATTGCTGGCGCTCTGTAGAGAGAGACAGTGCCTTGTAGCTGACTCCTCTGGAGATAACAGAGGGCCCTTCTTTTTCTTCTTGCCAAACAACTTCTTAAAAGGCTGGAATTTGCTTCCCTTCTTCTTGTCTGTGAATTACAAGATAAACACACAGATGCAGTTTGCTGGGGCTGTGCCTCTGACTAGAAACAGATTAGCACCCAGCCACCTCTGGCCACGAGTGCCAGGGCAAAGGGCAGCCATCGACCAAGCCCGCTGCTGAGAATGTCAGGGCCGCCCAGGCGCCAAGGTGCACAGTGAGGCAGGGCGCAAGCCACAGGCATGGTGCACCTTCTGGCCCTCGGGCTTCAGAAGATCAAGAAGAGGCTCTAAGTTGCAAGGCCCCACACACATGCCACGCGAGGGTGGGGCCTGCTTTCACAGAGCTGATGTTCAGGGCCATGTTCTAGGAGAAGCTGAGAAAAGCAATCAAGCCACACAGGGATTTTTCAGAAGTATACAGTATAAAGCCCCAATCGTTCTGTCTTAGCCTTGTCACATAGAGAGAATAATGGTCAGGTCTTGTGACAAGCTTTGGCTCATTGTCACCCATGACCAGTTAGTCCCAGTTTATCCCCCAAGTCTCCTTTAAATTTTCCAATGAAGAGACCCCAAGCAGCTGCTATGAACCTCTCCCCACATATCACCGAATCACAAGCGGCCGAGGCTCTCTGCCAAACTTCACTGAAGGCGTTTTCAGGAGTACCTTCCACTCTGTTCCTTTGGATACAAATTCCTTCACTTCACTCCAGTTCTACCAGGGAACAGAAAGTGTAAACCCTTTACCTGAAAAGCTTTTCATGCAAGCACTGCATTTTTCCTGATGAGTCTCAGCTGTTACCCTACTGAGCGTTCATAAACTCGGTGAAGCTGCGTGTTACTTGAGTTCAAGATCAGCCTGGACTATATAGGGAGTTTCTAGTTAGCCAGGCTACAGGGTGAGACCTTGTCTCAGGACAAAGCACAAAGGAAACTGCAGTGAGTAAGCGGGTGGTTCAACCCATTTCACGCCAAGCCACAACACTAGGTGGTAGAGGCACAAACAGACCTCACCCTGAAGATTACATTTTTAACCTATCGTATGTCTTATGTCCATAGTATCCAGTGTGCTTTGTGTGTGTGTGTGTGTGTCCTTAGAAAGGGTACATGTGGTTTATAAGACAAGAGAAATGGACAACACGATTAAGATCAAATTTTAAAATGGTAAAAACAAAGGCAGGTGTGGCCTCAAAGTCCTTTAACTTTCTGAACTTGGAATGCAAAGGCAGGAAGATCTCTGTGAACTTGAAGGCAGGGACTGATGTACACAGTGAGTCCCAGGCCAGCCGTGGCTACATAGTGAGACTGTCTCAAAAAAAAAAAAAAAAAAAAACCCACAACAGGTTAAAAAGGCTGGCTTTTTGATCACCAACCCCTGAGCAGGGAGGAGGACCTCCCCTATCAGTGGACTGGGGGAGGGGCAAAAGAGGAGGGCAGGGAAGGAGGAGGGGAGGGAGGAGAGGAGGGAGGGAGGATGGGATTGGGAGGGGCGAGGGAGGGGGCTTCCGCTGGGATACAAAGTGAATAAACTGTATTTAATATAAAAAAATAAAAGCAAAACAAAAAAGATATGAGGATCTGATTTCATACATGTATATGTTTTCAAGGGTTCTTTATACAGGAGCAGATATTTTAGTGACAATCTCGACACCTGCTTTGCTCTCAAGAGTAAAATAACTCCCCCCACCCCCCCAACACACACAAATTTAAAGCTCCAGGTAGCCACTGATGACACTAGTGGATGACAAGGCTGAAGACAGGCTAAGTGGCAGCTGATTTCTAGGTCGGGCATTATCACAGTAAATGGTCAATAACTTACAGTATATTCCATTAACCCTCAGGGAATAATTCTTTTCCTTTTACAAAACGGTCTACTGTCTTCCCACCACAAAACTCTCTAAGCTCAGACTTTCTATCAAATTAAAAGCACCAGTTAGGGGCTGGAGAGGTGGCTCAGAGGTCAAGAGCACTGGCTGCTCTTCCAAAGGTCCTGAGTTCGATTCCCAGCAACCACATGGTGGCTCACAACCATCTATAATGAGAGCTGGTGTCCTCTTCCGGCCTGCAGGCATACATGCAAACACAACATTGTATATATAATAAATAATAAATAAATCTTTGAAAAAAAAAAGCACCAGTTAGGATGTCCAGGCCCCGGCATGGGCACACAGTCTAGTTCTCCACACAAAGCAGAGAACTGTAGAGTATGCTTAGAATCTATAAATAAGGAACAATTATATCATGATGCAGTGTTAAGGTGGATCTGCTGATGTTCAGGTGAGTTGGAACCAATGGAGCATATTACAATGAGAAGCTAGTCTTTGGACAAGTGCCTTGCGTATGAAACCAAGAGGTTAATGTAATCCTGCATGTTAGCCAGAGGTTCTTGGCACTGTCTAACTGTTCTGAAAATCACCAGGGAAAATACTGTGCTGATCACACTGTTGAAGAAGTGATCAGAGCAGTGAACACTAGGGCAAGGACATAAAGACGACGGCCTGGCGAGGATGCTGGGACCCAGTGGCCCTGACTTGGATCCCTGTGTGGGCGTCCAGTGGTGGACAGATGTTCCTGCAGGGCAGCCCGCTGGGGGAGTGCCGAGAAGCTTTGTGCTGGGCCTTAAAACCATGGTTTATCAAGAGTATGCATGCAGCCATCATCCGGGAAGGCCTATCAAAGTCCAAGTGTCAGTCAGTGCCCTTCTCCGGGACTCGGTAATGCTGCTTCAGCAATGCCTTGGTATTTATCACGAAGGGAAAGGAGCAGGAAAATGTAACCCCACTGTCCACTGGACTGCAAGGCTTCTGACAAGGAGAGAAGACCCTTAGTCCTCATAACACCATCTTCTCATTAGAGGAGGACGCAGAACACCCAAGCTCATGCCTGCCATAATTCCTATCAGAAATATCATTATTTATTAAGTCTAGAAGTTCACCTTACGATTGTTCTACTGTTAAATTTGTTAATCTTCTAAGATTAATTTTTGAGAAGACTGAGTAATGACACTGATGTCTATCCTACATTTAGACAGCAGGACATAAAGTGACATTATAGTAGAGTATGAATTCTTCTTAAAATTATTTCTTTTAGAGATTAAAATCATAATCACGTCATGTCCCCCATCCTTTCCTTCTCCCTATAAGCCCTCTCATCTATCCCTCTTTGCTCTTCAAGTTCATAATCAAAATGCAGTCTTTTTTCTTTAATTCTTGCTACATATGTATATGTATGTACATACGTGAATACACACATAAATACAAAACTGCTTAGTCTGTAGAATGGTTCTTTTGTGTATGTTTTCAGGGTGAACCATTCGGTATTGGATAATTCCTGGGAAGCCTATTTCTCCCACTCAGCACTCCTTAGTTGCCCATAGTTCTTTGAGTAGGGCTGAGGCCTCCTGGGCTTTTCCCGAACCACATAAACATGTCTCTTGTGGTCCTTGTTCAGTTCATGTTTAGGCAGCTATGACTTTGTGGGTGTAGAGCATACACTCTTTCACTCATAGCAGGAGTTACATAATCTTATTAGAGCTCCCAATTTATATGCTCAAATATAAGACCTCCCACACCCCCAAAAGCTGCAATTCCCTGCCACACAGACTCTTTATTGCTGAAAATCTGGACAAGTGTCTATAAACATCCATTAAATAAACCTACGACTTTGAGGGACATTAGCAGTTGACTCCGTAAAATCAGCTGGCTTAAGGGAAGAGCCCCTGGTAGTCACTATTCTCTTGACGCCCAGCGGTAGCTCCTGTTACTAGTTTTCCCAACACACGAAAGAAACAAAGCATTTTCAGCAATGCAGCAAACACAGCACCCTCCTGCAAAGCTAACGTGAGCACCACGGCCATAGGGAGTGGAGTTCAGCAACCAATCCCCCAACGCCGAGTGTTTGAGATGACAGCCGAGCATTTTACACCACAGACCTTGCTGGTCTTGGGTAGACTGGACTGGGGGGGAAGAGAGAAGAGAATGGTGCTCACTAGTAACTTCGTGTGTTCACTGGCTATGGAGACACAGGTAGGGGTTAAATGTGCGGGCTCCAAAAAAAAAAAAAACCAAGAGTATTTATTTGGCCTAAATGCCAATCCTATCTTTTACTAGCATCTACCTCCCAGCCCCTGCACCTACTCACCATCTTTAGCTTTAAGACTGAATTGATGGGTGAGCGGCGGGGTGCCACATTTTCTTAATATTTCAGCGCTTTTCTACTTTAATTTTCCGCACGAAAGAACCTAAAGATGCGCACATGCTGCTTTAGGATCACAGTGATTTTCATTCTCAAAGTACTGGATTAAATTAATTTATTTTTGTTGTCCAATAATTGCTTGAGGGATTTTTTTTTTTCATTTAAAGAAGTGCTCATTATCCATATTTCATGGACATGGTCATATATCACCAGAGGCCTATATCTCATAGTCACTAATTTATATAGATAACCCTAAAAATTAAAAACCAACAGGAAAGTCAATCAAATAAGATTCCTTTTTCATATGGATAAAATTCTTATCTTCTTTCTTTGTTTCTTCTTTTTCTCTCTCTCTCTCATTTTTTTTCTCTCTCTCTTTCTTTTTGAGACAGGGTTTCTCTGTGTAGCCTTGGCTGTCCTGGACTCACTTTGTAGACCAGGCTGGCTTCAAACTCACAGAGATCCACCTGCTTCTGCCTCCGGGAGTGCTGGGATTACAGGTGTGTGCCACTGTGTCCAGCTCATCTGGATAACAATTCTTATGTTTTCTTTTCTCCTAAAATTATAAAAGCATCTGACTTTGCTGCATTGTGTTCTAGGATATGCCTCCAACTGAGAAACAGATGTCTCAATTCATTTTAAGCATAAATGTATGAATCTGAGGTTCCCATAAGTTGACACTAGGTTTGTAAGGCCAGAACTTCTAAGAGTCCACGTAAAATAAAGGGAAGCGCACATCTTTGTGAAGCGAGCGTTCAGAGTCCCTAATGTGCCACTGCTCTCCACAGAGCCGAGGATGGGCAGTATGTATTTGGAAGCTTCTCTGGAAGTCTGGTTGGATTAAAGAAACTTGACT